AGGTGTTTCTGGGCCTTATCTATCGGTGATCGATGCCATAATGAGTAACTTTCGATCGTTATGTACTTACTTTAAAATCCAAATCATTGCATGATCCATATAATGTTACGTGTGAGATTCGATTTTTAAATCAATAGTTTTTATTTTTTTTTATTAGATTCCTTAGATCGTTTCGCGTATTTGTATATAAATTAATTTTTAATTATTAATTTAATTTTTAATTATTTAAGTATTTTATATATTTTTTCATTTTTGTAAATTAAATTCATATTTTTTTTTTTTTTTAATTATTGAAGTACAATAACTTAAGTTTTAAGCTAATAAATATTACATACCTTCTCATAAAGAAAGATACACGCAAATAGTTTAAAAAGTGTAACATCATTATAGTCATAATATTTGAATCTCCGCGTATCATCATTCATATGAAGAAAAACGATTTAGAAATGAAATATGTTTCACATCCTAGGAAGATAAAAACAAAAATGCCTTAGACATTCCGTGAGAAGCATGCTTTTTAATTAATTCATAAATCATAAAACATCACTATGGCCTCTCGTACTTTTTGTCGAAGTCCGTTATGTTATCAGAGATTTCGATAGACGAGCTGATCATTTTCAGCCATCTGAAAGGAAAATGGCATCGAGAACCTCGCAATAAAAAATTAAAAAAAAAAAAAAAAAAAAAAAAGTTATAAAGAAAAACGAAAAAAATCCCTTCACCGAGATCCGGGCCCCGATCATAAACTCTAAGTATAATATTAAATGCTTCCAATACTGTACTATTAAAACAGAAAAAAAAATTAATTATTACAACATTTTTATGATTTTATTCGTTCGGACGCGTAGGTAAGCGGTATATATATATATATTATATATATAATCTACAGATCGATAATACTCGAGAATTGTATTTTATAAGGTTTATGCCTCTTTTTATTTACACGTACCACGAGTGACAAGTGATATATATATATTATATTATATTATATAAATATATATATTGTTATTGATAAAAATTGATAAAAAGAAACGATGAATTATACGGAGATACACGACAAAGAATGTAACGTTTAAAGAGTCGCGCCAAAAAAGTAGTGTCGTGTTCGAACGGGGCGCCACCGTTGCATTTCCTCCGCGTCTAGAAGCTCCGGTTATCCGCGACAGGCATCGTGTCCGTACTACGATAAAAAATCCAGATATGATGCTTATAATACTCATTTATTATAGTGTTAATAGTTAAGAAATATATTTTTATATTATTATAATATTACGACACGATATATTATATATATATATATATAGTACTAATCGATCGCCGCGGATCCGTGAACCCGCGACGAGTCTGTTCCTCGGCCGGTACAGATACGCGAGAATCTTCTATTTTTATTTTCTAGTTTTCGAGACTCAATCGTAAACGATTCAACGTTCCTGTGCAATCTCTTTGTTATTTTTCTCCGTTATTTCTCATCATTATGTTACGTTCTTTATTTTCATTGACTTGTTTTTGTTTGTACGATTTCTTTATAACAATTTTTTTAATCGTTTGATATATATTGATTTACCGGCATTCCTTAAATATTTTTACTTTCTATAATTTTATATAAAAATTTATTTCGTGTTAAGTTTTACTATCAATTTGATTATTCTTATTTTCACACTTGAAAGAGCCTCAATTCTGTACTTTCGAATACTTTCACGACCAACGGGTTAGGACATCAGGAAGGAAAAGCAGGAAATTTACGAAGACAATATTACATACGTATAAGTGACTAAATGAAGAATAAAAAAATTATATATATAAATATAAATATATAAATATATGAATATATAAATATAGATATAAAAAGATAGAAATATTTGCTCTGATTCGAGAGTATTTGCAACCTGCTCGCCTCGATGTATGTATGTACGTATTATTAAATAACACACAGACTACAGTGTAATTTTGCCAGCTTTCGCTCATCGGCATCGATTATGTCTCCGTTACTTCCTAAACTATTATGTAAAAAATTAACAAAAAAAAAAAAAAAAAAAAAAAAAAAGAAAATACTCGTATAAACATGAAACAAACGAAATGAGAAAGCGAAGAGATAAATACAAGAAAAAAAAATTGTTAATGATTGTTGATGCAACGATTTAAAAAAAATGAGCACCGTACGATGCCTTCCGTGAACGACCGAGCTTGCCTAGTTACCGAAATAACATATAAATTCAATAATTCGATCTCGAAAAGAATTCTCTCGTCGAAAGTAACGTTATTCCCGCGATGCTTCCCCATCTATCGATCAATTGTTTCCTCTATCATGGACAATAAACATAGTATGAGTAAATAGTGCCATAAACTACGTAAATACAGTAGAGATTCTTCGTATAATTATAATATAAAGAACACTTTAATACCAATAGAAATGTGTATTCTATTCATGACGAAGCTGTTCTATGAATTCCATAAAAACGTATTGTGATTTTGTTTCATTACAAAAAGCACGCGGGAATAATAAAATATTCGCTTTAAACTATACTCGACGAACACTGGTGGTTATGCTATCGAGCTTTCCATAACTACGTTACATAAGCATCAGAATCGTGCGTGTGTGCGTGTATTGTATGTATGTACACCAAGAAATACTCGGAAAAAATACGGCAGGACAATAATAATACCGTTTCTTTTTAGAGATTAGAGAGCATAAGCATTAATACAATAGTATATATATATATATAAAAATCGTAAGTGTGGAAAAAAGAATAAAGCTAAATGCAACCTACACATATACGCACATGGTACAAAGAATGTGTATGTATGCGTATATGTGTATATACGCTATAGCGTGTATGTATATACATTCGTAACTTTACATTTAGTCGCCACGAATAGCGATGCGAATGTACTGTAACAGTGAAACGTAATAATGCGGTAGATACTAGAGAAAATGGTGGAGAAAAAATAAAAAAAAAAAACCCGAGGTTCCAGCTGCGTAGTGGATGCAGTGCCTTCTCCGGGTGAAATGATCTCGTATTATTGAAGCGAGCGGTTGCAAAACAGTTTAAAATTAATAATTAATAATTGTGCTATAATATTTGAATTTTAAATTACAATGAAATTTTATTGAAAAAATTATAATTGTTTTAATTTCGAATTATTTATTTTCACAATAGTTAATGTTACAATATATCATAAAAGCAACGAGTAAAGATTTAATACGAAATAATTATTTTAATTTAAAATCAATTTTTACATGATAGTCACTTTTTGGAGAAGGAGTATATTCTTGTAATTAAATCGCTAATTAATGTTAAAAAAATATATTATTCTAAATAAAGCGATCTTCTTTTAAAAGTTTGATCGTTGATAATGGGCATTTAAAATAGAGAAATAATTTAAAAAAGAAAAAAAGAAAAAAGAATTGAAAATATGTGTAATGAGGAATAAAGAGAAATGAATCGTCGAAAGGATCGAACACTGCGCGCACTACGCGGCGAACTTTCAAAGCACGAATCGATAAATTCGGCTGAAATAAAAGCAGAGCCGAATCTGTTACACACTGCGGAAAGAAGCAGCAGAGAAAAGAAATGAAATTAAAAATAATGTATTGTGACGAAGTTCCATCCATAATAAATAAAATGAAAATATTATACAGTTAGGCCGACTTTTCCGCCAGTTCGTGCCTTTTTTCTGCAGGGAGAGAGAGTGCAGTTTTGGAATCGATCTGAATGGTGTATGCTATTGATTTATTATCTAATAGAAAAAAATAATAAGCAACATGAAAGAAAGAAACAGAGAATAACAAGACAAAATAATATTAGAATCATCAAGAATCCTTAAACTATGAAGAAAAATGAATGGACGAAAGGGACAGGATATGAGGATTAATTATGCGTATACATAAATCGAACGAGGTTGTTTGACATGACAAAGTATGTGTCCTGTAATACATTATTCTCGAAAAAACATTACGAGCATGTTAATTATGTCAGTGTGAAAACAAATAAAGGTAAAGAAAAAAAGAAAAAAGATGTGAGATAAAGTGTAAAGGATTGAATGATGCGCATGAAAGGAGAATGATAGAATAGTGAAAGAATGTGTGTGTGTGTGTGTGTGTATATGTGTGTGTATGCTTGAAAGGACGAAAGGAAGAGAGAGAATTCTAGCAATTGTTGAACGTTCATTAAATTGTCCTCGTTTCACGATGTAATAAAGGCTATTTTACTTTCATGTCGGTGTTACAATTTTTGTTCCTTATACCTTAACATAAAAAATAGTAACTATCTATTTAAATATAATATTTAGATATAATAGTATAATAGTCAAATTTCCATTCATTTGATATTTGAAGATTTTTTTAATAAGATGTTATCATAAAAATTGGTTGATTAGTTTTGTGAATTTTTTTTCTCACTTACTTTTTTTTTTATGTTCATGATTATTGACAAGATAAAAGAATTTAGGGGATCTATTTATTAAATTATTATAGCTATTGAATAGTAAAAACTAGCTATCTAACTAAATTAAATTGATTATTTTCAAATGGAATATTTTTTATCTATTTATTGTTCAGTATTGCTTTAATCAATTAACGGAATTTTTGATATGATTTTCTTCTTTTTTTTGATTCTTAACAAATATGAAGCGATTTAAAGAATAACACATTGAAATTCAACTTGCATGTGATAATTATATGATCTATAAGTAGCAAATAATATGCCAGTTAATATATTTAATAAAATAATGTAATTAATAAATAATAATATTAAATAAAATTATTGAATATATTTATTTCGAAATGACAATATAGTAGAATAACATTTTTACACATTTTATTCACAGATATTAATAAAATAATAAATTTTTCATCGATAATTGAAAATTAAATTATAGACGAAAATTCAATTTGATAAATTTAATAATTTTATAAATTAATTCATTGAAAGAAAATATATGATAAAAAATATGAAAATATATGAATAAAAAATAAAAATTAAGTAATATTAAATTTTTAAGAATACAATTTTTATTTTATTACTAAAATTTATACATTTTCATAATTAAATAAAAAATTAAAAATTTTATCTCCAGCCTGATTATATATTATACATAGACAAACAAAATAGTTTTAATTTAAAGGAAGTTTCAGGCATTGTATATCTACAGAATCTCCTTTATATCTATTTAATTGATTTAGTAAATGTAACTTCGGTTGTTTACAATGAATTGTATGTAATTCATATGATGTACATATATTCAATAATATGGGTTCTTGTAAACTTTTTACAGGATTTCTTGTTATCATGCTTTCATATAAATGAACTGCAGCTTTTAACTGGCCTGTGTATAAAAGGCAAACAGCCATATTATTAATTAATGCGATATTTGATGGATCCAATGCTTCTGCTGCTTGAAAACACTTATATGCTTCTTGGAAAGAATTATGAGCTACTGCTAATAATCCTCTATCTGTTAATTCTCGAACAGTTAGATTATTATCTTTTTTATGTAAATTAATTAGAAATTTTTCTGCTGCTGAAACATCTCCCAAAAATAGATGTAATCTACCTATACTAGCTTTCAATGCATCCATTTGTTCAGATGTCCAATCTGCAGATTCACAAAGTTTTTCTAAAATATTTATGCCTAATACATAATTTTTCATGCTAACTGCACAGTTAGTAATAGATATAAGAATTCTGGATCTTCTGGCTTTCCATAATCGTATAGCATCTTCTTGTTCTGCGCAATTTATTTTAATATGGGATCCATCTCCATTAAATCCAGCATTAAAATTAGTTATAATTTGATTCACTATTGACAGAAGTTTAAAAAGATTATCCAATGCTTGTTTTGCTTTACCACAATACATTGGAATTTCAGCTAAAAGTAATCTAAAAGAAAAAGAAGCCATAGAACCTGGTCTAGTACCATATAGTTCAGGATAAAATGTAAAATACATGTCTGGTTTATCTAAATTACCAAATGGTTTTGATTCATTTTCTAAAATATCAATTTGCTTAAGTTTAGTCAAAAGAGCTAGTCTTGTATACCATAATTGTAAAGAATGTGGAGAATGTTTACTAGGCTGATTTATTTTGCCAAATCCTTGAGCATATACTGCCAATAATCTTCCTGATAAATTTATTGCTGCTTTGTAACAACCAGCTTGTATTAACGTCCTTAAACCACGTTCATCTTGAGTTACATCAGAAGCAGTAAGTACATGCCTTTGTATATTTTCATCTTCACCTAGAAATCGTACAGCAGTACTTTTTATTAAATTTGGCATATCTCCTTGTACTGCAAGACCTGGCATTGTCAAATTTTCTCTGTCAAGAGAATTAGTCCCAACAGTTGATGTAGCAATACTTCGTAGAATTTTTCTTGTTTGTTCAGAAGGTATCCATACATCTCTGTGTACATCATTTGTGCCACTGTGATCGAGTCGTTCATTATCGAGTAATGAATTACTTTTTAAAAATTCGTTTGATTGATCTGTGAGTAATTCAAAATCTGGAATTCTACTTTCAGAAGTTTTTCGTATATTGAAAAAATCTTCTTTTTTAGGTGATACAATCTCATCAAAAATTGTGCGAGATGCATTTTCAAAATAGCGGCTAATATCAGCCTCTATTTCTTTTGTAACCTCTCCAGTATTTTCAGATTTCTGTCGTGTTGAAGATTCATTTTCTTCAGCCATTCTATATTTTATTTTATTTTTACTTAATTTATATACATTTATAATTATATGATTTATAAATTTTATAAAAATGTGAAAAAAAGCTTAAATATTAACTGTCAAAATCAGATTGAAATATTTTGTCATGAACAAAATATATGTAAGTACATACAATGTAATGTAGATTGGAATACTAAGTATTATCGGTATTAACTTTGTATTAATTATGTACTTTATATATTATATATAATTAATAAAATTATTATATAAATTATAATTGTATATATTCAATTATAAAATAAAATTAATTAAATATTATAATAGAAATAATTTAATAAAACTTTATTTTGGGATAAAAGATGGTTAAAATTTTTTTGTATCTTTATAGTCTCTTTTAAAAATTTTAAAAAACTATTTGTTGAAAAATTATTCGTATTTAAAGTAATTTTAAACATATTTGACAAATTACTAAGAATAATATATAAAAATAATATATAATATAATATAAAGATTAATAAATTATTAAAACTAATAAATTATTAAAAAATTAAAAATGTTGAGTTGTTCATAATTCATACACAATAATTGGAGTCGCTATTTACATAAAAGTGATTTAAGCATAATAAATCAAATTCGGTTGTACAGATGTAATATGCGTGTTTTTTTTTATTGATTTGTCCGTATGATATATATATATAATGACGTGTATATATACAATTGTTCATTTGATATGATTCGATAATGGAATAAAATTATTAAAATAATAATCATTGTTGGTAATATTAGCGACTGGAAAAAAATCTATCTTATTAACTCAGTACTTTAAAGATATTATTTAATAGATTTGTATGATCATCATCTATATACAAATAATAATTCCGCTCATTGAATGAACTAGTGTATAAAGGAATTAATATGGCATCAACTTATCCGATGTGATTAAAATTATTAACTTTATATACGAATAATAATTTTTAAATTAATAGATTCTTAAACTTAAAATTATTTTTTGGATAAAATAATTAATCAAAAATTATTAGAAAATATAAAAAAAATTCAACAATTTTTGGTATTCTAAAATAAAGTTTAATCATAATTTCCTTTTAATTAATATTTTTTATGAAAGATGATATTGTAAAAAAATAATAACGATATTATTATATTTATGCGTATATGTATAAATATATATATAGATACAATATATAAAATAATATATAGATATAAGATTATAACAAAATAAATTAATAATATTATGACCAACATTGTGAGAAATGTTTGTCTTTCAAGTGGTTATGATATGCCTCTAATTGGATGTAAGTTTATTAAAATATAATAAATATGTAAAATATAATATATAAATATACGTATTATTTTAAATTAATCTTTAAGTTATGCTATGCATATTAATATAATAATATAATAATAATAATATAATAATACATCAAAGATATTATTAAAAATGATAATAATAAAAATAGATTATAATTTATCATAATAAAATATTAAATTTAAAATTTTTATTTTAGTTGGAACATATAAAATTCAAGGAAAAGAATTAATATATGAAGTAATAGATGAAAGTTTAAATGTTGGTTTTCGTTCTATTGGTTTGTATATAGTGAATATATAAGTGGATTATTAATATATGTGTTTATTAATAAGAGAATACATATTAATTTTTATTATATAATAGAAATCTATTATTTTTTGTATTATATTATAGATACAGCTGTAGGATATCGAAATGAAGAAAACATTGGCTATGCTTTAAAAAATTTATTACCAAAATATAATCTTCAAAGAAATGATATTTTTATTACAACTAAGCTTCGTAAGTATTGATAAATATATTTGATAAATATATATGATTAATATAAATATATTCATTTAAATAATAGCACCAAGTGTAAATGGAGATCCAAAAGGAATAGAACAATGTGTGCAAAAATCTCTTAAAGCACTCAATACTACGTACATTGACTTGTATTTGATTCATTGGCCAGGAGCAACTCGTATACCAGAAACTTCAACAAATAATCCAAGTTTAAGAGCAAAGACTTGGAATAAGTTAGTAGATTTGAAAAAACAAGGTTTTATAAGATCTATAGGTGTATCTAATTTTACAATTAAACATTTACAAGAATTATTACAAAATTGTAAAGATATACTACCAGCAGTTAACCAAGTAAGTTAATTGCATTTACATAGTTAATCTACATTCATTATTATTTTTATATTTATTAAAATTTTTACCATAGGTTGAATTGCATCCACACTATCGTCAAGAAGAATTAATAAAATATTGCAATGAAAAAGGAATTCATATACAAGCATATTCTTCTTTAGGAACTAGTGGTAATATTAATCTTTTGAGAAATCCAATTGTGTTAAAAATAGCTTCTCAACTTAATGTATCATCAGCACGATTGTTATTAAAGTGGGCTTTACAACAAGGAATTGGTAAATAATTTATCTTTTTTTTATTTCTAATACATATTATTATTATTTAATAAAATTATTATAGGTGTTATTCCTAAAGCTGTAAATAAAGAACATATAAGAGATAATATTCAATTAGATTTTTTAATTGATGAAGAGAGCATGAATATTTTATTTTCTTTACCTCAATTCAAATATGCTTGGGATCCTTCTAATGTATATTAAATCAATTCAAAAATAAATAAAATAAAAAACATGGAAGATTTTGCAGATAAAGTTGCACAACTTTGTTTAGAAAAATATAATAAACTTGGTAAGAATGGTAAACCATCACAAAAAGAATGGACTGTATTATCAGGTATAGTATTATTAAAAGAGGATGGTACACTTTCCCTAGTAGCTCTTGCTACAGGAACAAAATGCTTAGGAAAAATAGATTTAATGAATACAAAACTATATGAAGAAGGATGTAGATTAAGTGATTCACATGCAGAAATTCTGGTTAGACGTGCCTTTTTAAGATATTTATATGAACAAATCGATTTTTTACTCAGTGGTGCTAAAAATAATGTCTTTATAATAGACGATAAAAAAAAAATTAAAATAAATGATGGCATATCATTTCATTTTTTTACAAGTCAAACTCCTTGTGGAGATTGTTCTATATTTTTAAAAGAAGAAGATAATGCACCTCCAATAAAAATTAAGAAATATAATCATAATATTGAAATAGAAATAAAATCTAATATCAATGAAAAAAAAAAACAAATAATTAAAGATATATATAGAACAGGAGCAAAATGTGTTAAATCTGAAAAATATCAAGATCCTCATTTACCTGGAGTAAATTACCATGTAGTTGGACCATTACGAACTAAACCAGGACGAGGAAATCCTACTCTTAGTTTGTCTTGTTCAGATAAAATAGCAAAGTAAATAAAATTATAATTTATTTTGAATGTATATAATATATGGTAATTTTGGAATAATAAATTTGGAACAATATGGAAATATGATAATTTTTTATATATTGATTTTAGATGGAATTTACTTGGAATACAGGGATCATTTTTATCAATACTAATACCTCCAATAAAATTAGAAACTATTATAATAGGAGGTAATTCTCCTTTTTCTCTGGAAGCAATGGAACGTGGATTGTATAAACGATTTAATTCAGAAATATACAAATTAAAAATTATACAAAGTAAACTTTTTTTTAAACAACAAAAGAATTCCGAAGAAAAAATCCATGTCCATCTAGTATAATATGGTGTGCTGTAAGAAATCGGTAATTTTTAGTATTTATATAGAATGTTGATATATTTTTATATTTTTTTTTGTTGAAGAATAGATTTTAGAGAGCAAAATAAATATAAAAATTGATATATAAAAATATTAGTTGAGGCTTACTATTAAATTATAAGCAATTTAAATTTCCTAATATAATAAAACACTTTATCTAATTCAAGCTTATTATATAAATTGCTTATAAAATAAATAATAAAAAAAATAAAAAAAAAAATTTACTGTCAGCTTGACATTGATATTTTGTATATTAACTTTTGTGTTTTATTTTCTTTTTAGGATCTATTCCTTTATAAGTATCTCATAAATATATAGCATCTTGTTTATCTCTTTTTACTTTTTAAATTAACGTTAATATTAAAATAGTAATTAATAATTTTTTATTTTTAGTGATACTGAAATAGCAGTTGAAGGTAGAAAACAAGGAGCTACGAAAAAAAAAAAAGGTAGCAATTTACTCATAAGCAGACGTGCACTTTTTGAAACTTTTTTACGAACTTGTGATAAATATCAACATTTTGATTGTAATATAAGACATCCTAAAAAAATTACTTATTTAGATTGTAAAAAATGGTCTAAAAATTATCAAAATTTATGGAACACATTGAAATCGGAATTTTTTCATGATTGGCCTTCTAAACCAATTCAGTTGCAAACATTTGTGTTATAAAATATTTTAAATTTTATACAAATAAAAAAATATATAATTTAGATTGTAAAATTAAATTATATACAATATAAAATTTATATACAAATATATGTATATATTTATATGATTTATAAATTTCAATTATAAAATTGATACTTAACAAAAAAAAATAAGTACAATAATATTTTACAAAGTACGTTTACTTATATTAGTATATCCTACACCTATGCAAGTTAAAACAACTTGTTCTAATATTTCATCGTCTTCTTTAAATGGTTCAATTTTAAAGATGACTCCAAAAAAATCTTTTAAATCCCTTAAAAATTGTATCCTGTAGGAATAATATTATGCATTAGTTTTATAATGTTTTTTTCTTTTTTAAGATTCATTTATAACATAATTACTTACATTGATGGTGTTAAAGGACCTGTTACAATTTTAGAAACATCTTTCTTACCCAATGCCATAAACATTGCAGTCATAGCTTGAAAAGGTGAATCTACACAACCATTTCTACAATCATATAAATTTATACAATAGTTTCTTTAATTAATTAGTTAGTTTATATATTTTTTAATGTAAAAATATAAATAGTTACATTTTTTTTACCTATAAATTTCATCAATTAATTTCATAGCTGCTTCTTTACCAATATCTTCTGGCACACATGGTAAAGAACCTGTTGACATTAGAGGTGAGAATGCTTCTCCGCCAAAAACAACTTCAGAAGTTGTTTCAGCCGATAAACTCACTCCAAAACCTATTATATTTATAAGCATTTGAAACATTTAACTTAAAAAATATAAGTTAGAAAAAATTTTATACCTGGTGATTTTCCACTTGATGCACCTTTACAATGATCCGTATAAATATAGACATCTGGTAAAAATTTTAATAATACACATTTAACAGATTCAACAATTCTATTACCAATAGCAGGAGATACACGTATACTACATGCAGTACCTCTTATTCTTTTTACCATTCCACTATTTTGAAGCTACAAATGTATTTTTATTGTTTTTAAATTATAAATATTCTAATGACGAAGAAATATAATTTATGTTTATAATTACTAACTTGAATACTTCTAAGATTACGACTAATAGGACATTTAAATTTGATTTCTCCACCACCTAAAGGTGCAGCTCCTCTTTTATTAATAGTAAAGATAATTTCATTATCACCTGATATAATTTTTTTAATATAGGTATAGCAGATGCTTTAATTCTATCTACAGATGGATCTTAAAAATTAAATCATATAATTATAATACATTGTTAATATTCTGAAATTAAAAGTTTAAAAAACATTATTTACCTATTGTATTATTTGTAATTCCTTTAAGTTTTACATTTACAGCATTTTTACAAAATGGAGCTAATATCATAATTCCTTCCAAATAATAACCAATACCTCGTTGTATATTACAATCATGCTCAAATTCACCACCATTCAATAATCCAGGATTATAGTACAAATTAGTTCCTGTTTCATTTAATTCTATTCTTGATCCGTTTGTAATTTTATCCAATAAACGAATAAAATTGACTTCATACTCTAAGATATAAATGTGTGCATATATAAATTACATATAAACATTAATATTAATAAACAAATCTATTTTAATTTTTGAATATTTTTTGAAAGATATGTTTAAACTAACCTTTAAGTCCCGGATTGTCATCTTTAGTTCGAATATTTGTAATTCGTACAGGTTTACCTGATAATGTTGATAATAATAAACGATATCGTAAATAATTACAACCTTCATATATTAAAACATTATTTTTTATTTTGGCTGGCATATTTTATTAAAATTCGTGGTAAACAAAATAAACAAAATAATGTATTGGAATTATATGATAACATTAATGTTGCTTCTAAGAACTCTGTTATTAAATATTTAAACAAAATGGCTGTCCATGACGTTTGAGAATAGCAGGGTGGGAGAATTATAACGAACGCTCTAATAAGTGGGGGAATGATGCATAATGCGATGATAACAGCTTAGTATCGTGTTATTTTTCTATTCATTCTTCTCATTCTCTTAAATTGTCGAAAGTAACAAGATATCGCGAATTTTATATTCATATATATATATATATATTCTCGACAGTAGTAGTTGTATTTTAAATCTGATAATTTTATGTAGATCGAATAAACTTTAACAAAGTACTTTTGCTAAATTTTAATATGTTATTTATATAGTTTTATGAACAATAATTAATATGAAATAATATGCCAATAATATACTTAATAATTTATTTTAATTAATATGTTAAGTTTTAATATTTCTAAATATTTAAAATGACATTAATAAAGAAAAAGATATTTGTTACTGTTGGTACTACGAAATTTGATGAATTAATTAAGACAGTTCTTAGTTCAGAAGTTTTAGAGGTAAAAGAATACAAATTTTAAAAAAATTTTATTTTTTCATAAATGTATAAAAATATTTAAATATTTTGAATTATTTTAAAAAGATGTTTTAAATATATATTGTAAAATTTATTATTTTAGATGTTATCATCAAAGGGATATAATGAAATTATTTTACAAATTGGTAAAACATTATTTATACCAAACTGTATTCCACGTTGTGGTTTTGTTAATATTGAATATTTCAATTTAAATGCAAATATAACTAAATACATAGAAAATACTGATTTAATTATAAGTCATGCAGGAGCAGGAAGTATTTTAGATGCTTCAGAAAATAAAAAAGATTTAATTGTAGTTGCAAATCAAAGTTTGATGGATAATCATCAATTAGAGTTAGCTGAAGAACTCTACAAGAATAAGCATTTATATTATTGTACTTGTGAAACTTTATTAGATACTATACAAACTATGAATTTTGCTGAATTAAAACCATTTGTTAATTATAAAAGTAAACATATTGCTAAGCTTATAGATAAAATAATGGGATTTTCATTCTAGAAAAATATTTAAAAAATTAATGTTATCTTTTATTTATAATAAATAAAATTTAAAAATTATTAAAGAACTAATTGATTTCATTCAATATATTTAAGATTTTAATGCTTTACAATATAGATATATAACAGTTTTATAGTTATAACAGATATACTTTTAATATAATTTACAACAATATAATAAGAATTGCTTAAATAACTGTTCCTTAAAATTAGAGTGTAATAGCATAGAAAAATTTATAACTTTTGATTAAGAAAAATGGTAACGAAGAATAGTGGCAGTTATTGTTAGGTATCTTTTATATGATCTTTGGATGATTGCTAATTGTTAAAATAAAAGCTATAGCATTAAAAATATTTTCTAAATACTGTACAGTAATAAAATAATTTAATTTTTTAATAAGTGTTCACATTTCTTTACATGACTTTTTTTTAGGAATAAAGTAAACGAGTTAGTTTGCATCAATGAACATAGTCACTGCATTATCAATTTAATAAAGTTGCACATTTTTAATGCATTATATTGTTTTTTTAGACGATCCTAGCATAGTTTATACTTTCAATTTATTGTATGAAGATACATCCATATGAGGCAAACTACAAATGTGTATTTATAGATGGCATATGTTTTTAATTACAGATCAAACCAAGGCGTGTCATTTCTTTCAAAAGTTCATTTCCCATTTGTGCAGGACTCCTTGAAATTATTACACCAGCCTAAATAAAATAAAACAACATTTATATTTATTATATCATAAATATAGATAAAATTTAATTACGATAGATAACAAATTAATACTTTTTCAAGTGCATTAATCTTGTCTTGTGCACCTCCTTTTCCTCCTGAAATAATTGCTCCAGCATGTCCCATTCTTCGGCCAGGTGGAGCAGTGATACCAGCAATAAATGATACTACTGGTTTTGTTTTATTTCCCTACAATTACAATATAATAGATATATATTATATTTTTAAGTAATAATATTCAAATTAATTATACTTATAAGGATATAGAATAAGGATGTCTTGTGGAATACAAGGAACATTGGAATTTCTGGAAAAAATAGTTATGAATTAGGGTAGGATGTTGGGTACCAATTTAGAAGAACAACCAACAGTATTATGTTCAATGAGATATTCCGCTGCTGATTCCTCTGCACTACCACCAATTTCACCAATCATTATAATACCATCACATTCTGGATCCCTGAGGAATACATCCAAGCAATCAATAAAATTTGTTCCATTAAATGGATCACCACCAATTCCAATACAAAGTGTTTGTCCAAGACCAGCCTTAAAATAAAATTTTTTTATAGTTTTTTATATAAAATCATTTTCAAAAATATAATTTTTAATTTTATTTAGGGAAAACATTATTTAATTTAAAGGAAAATATAAAATTCTAAGAAAAAAAAAAATTTACTTACAAGTGTTGTTTGATTCACAGCTTCATATGTTAATGTTCCTGATCTTGATACAATACCAATTTTTCCTTTTTGATGTATATGCCCTGGCATAATACCTATTTTGCACTGAAATTTGTAATTTGTTATAAAATATATTAGAATATACATAATACGTATAATATATTGATTCCAAAATTTCTCTTTTCATAATTTTTTAAATATTAATAAATATTGAATACCTGTTCTGGAGCTATTATTCCTGGGCAATTTGGACCAACTAGACGAGATTTATTTTGTTCCAAAAGTCGTCTTTTAACTTTGACCATATCATGTTGTGGAATACCTTCAGTAATACATACAATTAATGGCATTTCAGCATCTATTGCTTCCATAATAGCTGAAGCTGCACCTGGAGGAGGAACATAAATAACAGATGCAGTAGCACCTGTGGCTTCTTTTGCCTAAAATAAAAATAGATTTAATAATTTTTTAATTTTAAATATAAAATATAAAATTAAAAAATTATTTGCTCACCTCTTTTACATTTTTAAAAACTGGTTTTCCAAGATGTTGTATACCAGCTTTTTTGGGATTAACACCACCTACTATTTTAGTACCATATTCAATGGCTTGTTGACAATGAAATGTCCCCTGTTTACCAGTGAAACCTTGACATATAACTTTGGTATTGGAATCAATTTTCAAGTTTTTCCTAGTATCTATATAGTTAAATCTTATTTGAGTATGTAATAAATTACCACACTTCCTAACTGAAAAAAATAAAAAAAATGATTTATTTAAAAAAAGTGTTTTTTTAAAAAAAGATTAAAGAAAAATATTAGTAACTTGTGTTTTATAATAAAATTTATATTCTTTAATAATATTCTCTAATATAAATATAAGAACAATGAAACATATGTTATTTTATGGGATAGAGATAGAAAGTTTAAACATTGTTTTAATTGAATATTATTTATAGAAACAATATCAAATTTCTTAACTTTTAGGTCAAGGTTCTTTAACTGAATATCTTCCAATGACTTCAATGATTAATATGACATTTAGAGTGATATACTGTAATAACATTAATTAACATAATATGCAAATTATGTTTGATAGTTATATGTAATATATCAATAGATATAACATTGAAATAATATTGTTTAAATAAAATATAATTTAAGAAAAAAGATTATATTATATTATTATATTACATATACATGAATCAGATAAAGATTTAATATAGAATTATATAATACTTTATTAATACTTAAAAGAAAATGTAGAAATTAAATTAAGGAATAAATTAAAAATATATATGTAGTGTCAAAAAAATTAAATTATGAATAACTATATACATTCTTATATAATGAAAGTTTTAACATAAAAAGGAATTATCAAATATTAATATCAAAAATAATAGAATAATAGCATAAAAAACTGTGAATTTTTATACTTTACAAATATGTTACAATTATTTCGAAATATATAAAAGTCTGTTAACATTAAAAAATAACAGATAATTATTCTTATCTTACCTGTAAATTTTGATAATGTTCTAACAGCTACAGCCATTTTTTAATTGATGTTTCCCTCAGGAGGTCAATAAACGAAATTGAATTATTAGAGAATCACCATCAAGAGAACTATCTTCGGTGAACTAGCGAGGTCAAGTTCGAAAGAAAATACATGAAGTATATCTCGCATATATCTAATACTCCAGATTTGTTACTTGTCAAATGACAGGAATACTGTTCATTGAAATGATTGGTTCATGCAAAATAATTTTTTTTCAATGTAAAAATGTTATTGTAAACAATAATTTTGTAAGTTTTTAAATATATCGAAACAATTTTTATAATATGCAAATTATTATTAATATTATAGAGTATTAAATTTATAATTTCAAAATTAGAATTTATGATTTTAGGAATATTTACGTAAAATTTCTCTAGTTCCTTGTTCATTGGTAAAAATATAGGAAAGTTAACTTTATCCCTATGTATATCTTTAAAATATACACTAGAATCACTTAGTATATCCATACATATTGAATAAAAGTATATAGCATGAAAATTAAAATGGTGCGATAGGAAAACGAATACATTATATAATAAATATTATATTTATTTAAAAAATTAGTATTATTTATATAAATTTTAAATTTATGTTATAATAATTGGTAAAGAACGTGATAGTAATTATATAAGGAAAGGTAGCATGCTGCATAATCAACAGAGGTCACCAAAAATCGAACGTAGTTAATGAAAGTTACGATTGATGGTATCATAGTTGCCAAATGTAGATTACCGAAAGAAAGTCTATATAAATCCTTTTTCGATTTTATTGTTATTACTGACATAAGAATTTAATTATACACAAATTTTCATATGGATCAAATAGTTTATTAAAATTCGAAGTGATCTAATTACAAAGTTAATATTGACGTGCATAGATACAACGACATAAATGACAGTGATATAAAAAATAAATATCTTGATAAAAATGATGTGGTAAAGAGAGCCTTATCGTTTTACAAAACCATCGAAGGAATTGCAAGGTACACTCTCTTTTATAATTTGTATTACATTCTTCGTTAAGATATTATTTCAATTATTTTCATAAAAGGAATAATATAATTTTATTTAAATGTGGAAGATTCAAATATAATTTCTAATATAATTTAAAAAATTATTTTTTAAATTTAAAAATTTAATTATATTATTTATAATATAAAAACATTTTTATTATATATATGTATATATATATCATTATATTATTTTATTGAAAACTAGCATATTTAATATATTTCTTCATGAAATTAAAAGAAAATATTGTTATTAAAAAATAATGAAAATATATATATAATTTTTATTACAATATATATATAATATATTTTTTAATTTTTAATTATCTAATATTTTAATTATTTTATTATTTTATTATTTTTATTATTTTTTTTAAATAAATATTAAAATTTTTATTTTTGATTAAAATTATATCTTTTTTTTCTATAATATTGTATAAATATCACATATCAGAAAAGAATACACTTTATAATATTTGTATAATAACAATAATAAATTAATTTTAATTTTATAATTATATTTTTTTATTTATATTTAAATGTAATAAATCTTTATTTGAATATATAAATAAAATTCATCAAACAGGATGGAAGAAAGCACAAGTTCTGAAAATGTTTGGTGCAAAACTAAAGCAGATGAACAAAATAATTGTATCATTCAGAATCCATAACTCAGTCTATGGAAGCAAATTCCACTTCTTTAGCAGATATATTTGATACAGCATTTTCATCTACAGTTGATCCTTCTCCACAACCAAGATTAATTCAGGTAAAATAACATAATATATGTATTAATTTTTTTCAATATTTTTTAAAATATTTTAATTTTTTTATTGCATTATTAATTTTAAGCAATTATTTTTTTTAACAAAATTTATTAAAATATTATTAAAATATTTTTAATAAAAAAAATTTATATAAAAAATCCATTAAATAATTTCAATAATTTTCTTTATTTTAGCCAATGACATGGAATATGATCACTTATTTGCAGAAAGTGATGTAGAAGATTTAGATGTGGTACCTATTAATCCTTATGTAAATCCATCTCATCATTCTGCTTCAAACAATAATTTTGTATTTGGAACATACTTACACGGGCCTGAAACAACAGGAATTTTACATGAGCGTGATCCTCCAGTAAAACATAAAAGTAAAAGAAGTGAAGAACGATCATTGGATTATCAACCATCTGATAATTTGGATGTGGCTGGACCATCTAGATTGTCAGATGGAACTTCTAACAAGTATGGAATTCAAAATTTTTAAATTTATACAATTTTTATTTTTAATTGAATTATATTGATAATTAATAATAAAATTTTTTTAAACAGAGTTATGCAAAATATGGAGAATGACAGTGCCAATGAAGTTAATACTTTGTACCATTCAGTTTTGCCAAATACAATTAATTCTCAACAACATTCAACACATTCAACAAGTATGATTTTTTTTAATAATAATTAAGAATAATTAAATATGTATACTTCTTATTATTTTACCTATATTGAATAGGAAATGATGATACACCATCAGCGCCTGATTTACAATTAGATTGGTCCTCAAGTAGTGATGATGCTACTAGTAGTGATGATGAAGATGGTTCGGTTGAAGTTCTTGTTTCAGTAAATCATAATAATAATAAGGTGAAATAGTTTTATTAAATTATTTCACAATGAAATTTATATAAAGAGCTTAAAATACAAAATGTTTTAATATATTTCAACAGCAGAATTCTGTGCAAAATAATGAAGAAAATAATCGCCCAGTAACTGTAGTTGATTTGACTGTAGAATCAGATGAAGAACATGCTCCACCAACCCCAACAACTTCGGTAGTAAGTCCAGGAACAACGGATTATGTACATAGGTATGATAAATTATTTATTATATAATATGTTTGATTATAGATTTTTAATAATTGTTTTATAGTGGGAACAATACTTATTGCATGCATAGTCCACCAGACTATGTGTATCATGGTCGATGTATGCATCATAATTATAGAATTCCAATTCCTGTTATACCTGTAAGATATAGTCAACTACCAGGTAAAAATATAAAAAAAAATATAAAAAGATAAAAATATTACACTAAAAATTTAAAAAAATTAATAATATTTTGTAATGATATTATTCTGAATGTTTTTTTAGATGCTTCTACAGGAATGTTAAGACCACGTATGCATCCTGTGCAAGAAAGATTATGGAGGATGCAACAACGTGTACAAGAAGTACACAGGCGGAGTCTTCATCCAAGATTTTCGACACATCATAGGTTAGTATCATGATAATATTTGAAATTTTAAATTATATATAATTTTTATATTTAGTAGTACTACATCATGCAATCCACATGTTCATCAAGCAAATCAACATACGTGTAATAATGGAAATCCTAATCCTGCAAATAATCGTTGCAATGGTTCGGAAAATATGACATTTGCAGAAAATTATTTTCCTCCTCCAATTTTACCACCACCACAACAACCTACTGTTTATAGTCATCCAGAAGCTAGGAGACCACCAAATGTTAGCCCATCATGTCCAGCACAATCTGTGATGGTAATTTCAATCAAAAAAGTTATATTATAATAAATATAAAATTATAATGAATTTATAATTTTTTTATTTTTCTTATTTTTTATTGTTTTTTCAGAAATTTAATTTTTATAACATTCATTTATATTATTTGTTTAGGAAAATTCTTTGAATGGTGTAGAAATGGAACCAACACCACCAGTTATGCTGCCTTCAATGCCAGTTCATCCTTATGTACCTCATATGTATCATCATTATGGTCCTCATCGAAGACCACCTGGTCCACAACATAGACATCATATTCATATTAATTGGTTGCAACATCTTCATTTGGTATGTTTTTATATATAATACTTTGAATAATTTATATATTAATATATTTTTTGTATTTATATACATATATAAATACATACATATACATATATTTCACACAGCAAGGATCCGATGCTCATGATACAATGCCATTTTCATCTTTTGGTTTGCTACATCCAGCACGTCCAATGTCGGCGCAACTTGAAAATTATATGCGTCTTGTTAATTTACGGCATATGGCTCATATTAATTGCGGAGCAACACAAGAATCAATTGAAAGTCACACATTCCGTTATAAGTACAAACGGGTAATGTATTATATTTTTCTATGAATTTATCATAATATGTGTATTGCTATTTTTATTCGTTTTAATATTTTATTATTTAATAGGAGAAAAAAGTTGAAAATGAAGATTCTATTGAAAAATGTACTATATGTTTATCTGAATTCGAAGACTGTGAAAGTGTCAGGTATAATATATTTTTATATATAAACATAATAATTTTTTTAATAACTATTTTTTTATTTTATATATAATATTCTTTTAATGTTTTTATATAGGAGGCTTCCATGCATGCATTTATTTCATATAGACTGTGTCGATCAGTGGTTATGTACTAATAAACGCTGTCCTATATGTCGAGTGGATATCGAAACTTTTCTACACAAGGAGCTTGAAAGCACTGCGTAGTTTAAGGTCGATTTTAATCATTTGTTTTTGTTTTTAAGTATAATCAGATAATATTCGCATCTAAATATTTTAAAAAATCCTATTCATGAGTAAACCTTTTTCTGACACTGCTATGAATGTTGATGTAAAAAATTTTACTGTGAATAATCAAAATATTGATAATGGAATAGAACTAAGTTCCTGAAGTTGTAGGAGAGGTTTGTCTTGATTTATTATCTTTGCATCCATGGATCATGGATATTAATAATAGTGTACATAAAAATGTTAGGTTTGTTTATTATGCGTTATTATATTAATAAAACATGTATTTTGTCCGATAATTTATCTTGTATGTAATATTTCGGATAATAACAAATTGTTAGATTATATGAAACATATGAAGTGGTATAAGTCTTCGTGTTTTTTATTCTACTTTTTTAATATGTGTCACATACACATAAAAAAGAAAAAAGAAATTTTAATTATTGATAACAGCCAATATAATGAATAATTATGAAAAAATATATTCCTGTGTTATAGTAATTTTCCAATGGGTGCTATATTGATATAAATTTTATATACATTAAATATATTCTAATGATTTGTGAAAAGAGTTAAAGATTTCATATTTGAATGATTTCTTGAGGCTATGTATACTTTTCATAAGTTTTTATATTAAAAGAATTTTTTAATAAAACTAAACTATAATAATTCATTATTAAAAATTATTTATTTTTCATAACGATATATTATTCTATTTCCATTTAAAATAAATTATCGATAAAGTTTCGTAAAAAATGATCTTAGATTTAAAAAACTTATTATTTTAGAAGATTTTATTTCCGCATAATTTTTTTAATATTTATTAAAAGAAGATATAATTCAATTTAATTTTAATTGACTAAATTAACAATCTGTATAATATTCAATAAATTATTCTTATTATGTCTAGTGCGCAGTAATAATAATTATTATCCTTTTGCATTTGAATGTTATCGCTATGGCGGCAAAAAAAAAAATAATTTATCATTAAAATCTTTAAAATCTTTAAAATTGGATGATGTCATAATGGTAACATGCTTTTATTATGCTTGTATATTTATGATTCTGTAATCGAAAAGTATTGTAAATGTCTGTTAATCTTTAATCTAAAATATATTTACTTCCAGATAATTTGTTGTTTACTAATATTTATTTTTGTATGCATAATATAATAATGAATATTAAAATGTATTTTTTTATATGTATAAATAAGTTTCGGTCGAATATATTGATAAAAGACTATAATACTTATATTTTAAATAAGTATGCAACATCTTTACTATCTTTAAATTACATATATTTTTATCAGAAATTTTTTATTCACTATTGTTTTTCGAGAAATTTTCTTTATTTTCTAGGTTATCAAATAAATCTTCACTAATTTTCCAATCTCCAATAGATAATATTGATTATAGATAAAAATGATAAAGATATATTAGTATTATGTTCATACAACCTATTTTTTTAATTTCATTTTTATAATTTATGAATAGAAAATAAAGATGATATATAATACGAAAAAAAAGAAATCATTGCTAACGCGTATAAGATCATACTTGTAAACATATTCTATCTTAGCATAATTATATGAATCAAATAAGTCAATCGATTATTTACTTTTGCTTTATTGAAAATAACTATTAAAGATAATGTGAGAATTGTATAACAAAAAAAACGATTTTAAAGATACAAAAATTATAATCTTTTTTATTTGAAATATTTTTAATAATAAATTTATAATAATAAATATAAATTTATAATGATTTATCATAATAAGCTGATTGTTTTTTTTGTCATTATATTCTATATAGGATTAATTGAATAAAGTTTTTATTTTTTGATTTCTCAAATTTTTTCATATTTAAATATATATATATATATATATTCAAAGATTACACAAAAAAACATAATAAGTACATTTATGTTTTTATTTTGTGATTTTTATATTATTTGATAATTAAAAAAATAGATAGTAGACGTATTCATAATCTGAGTTGGTATAATGTAATAATAAATTTTTTAAAGTAAAAATTTTAGTAATTATAATTAAATGATCAGTTCATAAAATTTTATAAAAAATACCAATATATTTTTAAAATTTTCATTTAATACATTAATTTAAATTTTAATTATTATCTACTTTTATATTCTTTTTTATTTTAAAACCATTCTATCATTAATCATTCTACAATAAGATATTAAATATATTTGTCGAAAATAAAATTTCGAATTGTTTTTTTCTCTTATATAATTTTCTAAAAAACTACTGACATAAAATTGTATATCAATTGTATACTTATATATTTATGTGACTAATTAAATGAATGAACACGTTGAAACGAGAAAAGACAATTGTCTTGCCTTGGCCTGCAACTGGGAAGAATGCAAAAGAAATTAGTTAGCCACCAATGACGCGATATATGATTGACGCGATCCGCACTCTCTTTAATACCACTTGGAGAGCACTGAATTCAACTTGTACATGGAAAAGAGAGGGAGTGCCTCTCGATCGGTGGCTATATAGCCAGTTACAGGACTGATCGTTTCAGTTCTTAACTCCTCGGTCAGGATTTGTTCACTTTTTTTTTCCCCACATTATCGATCTTTTAGGATTAACCCAATCCTATTTTGATTCCTTTAAATATTGTTACGGATTCGCGCGATGTCAATGATAAATACAGTGATCCATGTGGTCGATTCGTGTCTGTGAAAATTGCAGTTTAAACAATTTTGAACTGGTTTTTAAACAAATTTATAGAATTTAGATATAAATGCAAAAGCAAATGCAATACGATGCATTTGGGAACATAGAAAGATCAATTCGCGATCTTTTTTCACGTAAACCGACACAATCCATAATTTTGACGAGAGAAAGGTGATCGAATTTTTCTAACGATAATTGATTATTGATTTTTGAAGAGTTTATTTTTCAAAAAGATGCCTCCTCAAGAAAAGTTTGAAACGTCTGTGCATTTGAACGATAACCGGGATAATAATTTGAATTGTGAGAACTCGATGGATATTCAAATACCGGAAGCAAATGAGATCAAAGAAGAAACGAAGGATTTAGATTTTGACGAGTTGTTACCCTATGTCGGAGAATTTGGACTTTATCAGAAGATTCTGTTTATACTGATGATTCCTTTTACTTCATTTGTGGCATGGGTTTATTTCTCACAAATCTTCATCACGTTAATACCGGAAAAATATTGGTGCTGGGTACCGGAACTAAAGAATCTGACATCCGATGAAAGGTAAGCAGATAAAATACATTGAAAATATTTTATAATAAGATAGAAGTTTAGATATTTTAAAAAGAAAAATATTTTCATTAGATGAAATCAATTTTGAGATTGAAATCTGAAATCGCAGCAATAGATTTTATTTAGCTTCATATATCTATCGATAAGATATAGGATAAATAGAATTGTTCAAAATAAATGGATAAATGTGATTTTTAACACAAAAATATAATAAAAAAATTTTTTTAAAATTCATGAAAACTTTTTAAAAAAAGAAACTTTACAATTTATTTAATAATAAAATTATTTATTGTTTATTTGAAGTTATAATAATTATTTGTTCGATGATTCTTTTATCATGAGAGATAAAAATTAGGATTGATAATTTGATTAAGATCAAAGATAAATCTTTCGTTCTGTTGTGTCTGTTCTAAAATTGATATCTTTACTGAATAAATAAACAGTCCCATAAAAGATATATAAAAGATTTTGATTCATTTATTGAAATATCTTAGCATTTATAAACGCACATGAGATTAAAAAGATTTTTCTTAATATTAATAGTAAGATTCTATTTAATGAATCAAAGGATAAATTAAACAAAATCTTTTATATCATGTTTTTTAATCATTTTATAATAAGCAATTCATTTGCCAAATCTTGATATTATAGTTAACATAACATATAAGCATATATATATATATATGCGTTTATAAGAAATCTTTTAAATTCTTTTGCAAAATTCTTATGAAAACCTGAATCATAAAAACTATATTGGTTTCTTTATTCTTTAAAAATTAAGATATTCATATATCTAATTAAAATTCAAATTATTCAAATTTTTTCTTTTTTTTTTGTCTATAAATCTAATTTTTCTTGATATAAACAATTTTTTTTACTTGATATTTAAATTTTTATCTTTAAAATATTGAAATGAATATTTTTGTATTTATTATATACATTTGATAAAAAAAAGTGAAAAATAGATATAATAAAGTGATAAGAATGAAAAATAGAAATCATTATTGATTCAATTATTCAGATTCAATAATTCAGTCTGATGAAAATTCTGATCGGATTGCATTTATGAGTATGGGTGTTTATGATCGTATTAATTTTGTGATTGTATTGGCAATAAAAAATTCTAATGACGAACGATTATCAACATTTAATATCTGTTTTGTGATTCAGGATAAATTGGATACACGTCGACAATCTGGATAAATAGTTTTTGCACATATTATTTAGTTATTGAACAAGGC